GTTTGGACAAAGACCAATGACAAGGAAGTGCCTAAATCATAATATTAGTCCTATTGTGAAAAGTTCAAATTATAGCCTCCATTCAAATTCAAGCTTTTTATTCTTGAGTCACATTTGATGAAACAATGTTAAAGTTATACGTGTAACTTATCTGGGGGAAGGTGCACCTGCTTGTCTTCTAAAATATAAATGTTTTTACAATATTCAAATCACAAACTGCAAACATTAGCATAAATAATAATTATACACAAATGTGACCAAAACTTTTCAACGAATCTCACACTTGGTTTGATATTATTTTCACTATCAATAGTTTTATTCCAATGGGCATCTAGTTTTGTATTGTTTAATATCTGATTCATTTTCAATACTTTGTTGTTGCTGTTATTGTTCCAAAGGGAGCATGATTCTCTTGTACGGATGCACAATATTTCAAATAAATATAATAATGGCAAGTGCGATGTCCATATCGCAATGATGTGCAATAGATATGTGTTATTGATATGTGTAAATCATGTGTTTCTTTCACTCACATGACCAATCACTTTGACCAATCACACGCGACCTTAAATGCCCATCCCCGAAGGTGGCGCTTTGTCATTGGCTGAAACGAGCGCACAAACTCACATGGCTGAACGATATAGATCCTGGTGAAAATGAGAGCAGTGAAAAACATGATACTAGAACACTATAGTTACTAGAGTGGGAAACAGAAAGACAAAGATCGTCTATGGAAAGCACAAAACAGGAGCGCATTCACAAAAAAACAATCATTGCAGGTAAAGAGGTATTGTTATTTTAAAACATGAATTGAACTAATTAATTCAGCATGAATGAACTTATATTCACCTATTGTGACAGAAATCATTGTATTTTAATCTTCAATGCAAAGAAAGAAGTGTATATTGTCCTTGACACCACTATCGCATATCGCACTTTGTTCCAATATCCTGCAGCTATAATCTCTAACATCTGCTGCTTGTCTCTGTGAATATGAATAACTCAAATGGAATTTTATGAAACATTTTGGCAATAAAAAAATATATGAGATGGAAATATGTTGCTAGAATGATCTTTTGTATTGATTGAACTGGGATTACCTTTTAAACTTAGTTTTACTGAAAAATGTTATCTTTTAGTTTAAAGGGTTATGTTAATGCTACATGACTCTAACAGCTCCCATACAGAGTTATTATTCCGATCAAAATTAAAAGATACATCACTCACGTCACGCCATTAAACCGAGAGGCGACTCATTAAAACTGAACCCTGATTCTTAATTGCTTTGTAAGTTTCTACAACACCAATGCTTCACTGAGAAATTTCCTTGTGGAACATTGAGCGGAACATCTTCATTACCACATGTTTTCATAATTGTAACCACAGAGGCCTGGAGAAATACATTTGGATTTCCTCCCATAAAACACACACACACACACACACACACACATACACGTTTTTGTTACCTGGTGGGTCCCTTTGACAGGGCCGTTCAGAATGGGACCCATAGACATAATCTTTTTTACTGGGACTACTTTAAGTAATACAAAACAGTCAATAGAAAACCAACTCTTTTAAAGGAATTTGATTTTGGATTTTTTTTTTTGAATTGCAGTGATTCTATTTTTGACATAGAATTTAATGCCACTCCATGTCCGATGTCTAAGGTCATCTGGTGAGGCATTAATGCAGGCCAGGCAGTGAGACTTCCCAGGGACCTTTCCAGTCTGTATGAAAGGCGTCATGGTCTTCTCCACAGCCTTCACCTCAGATGCAGACCATGGCTTTCTTACACGTTCTCGGGAGAGAAATAAAAATATATTAGCAATATACACTACCAGGGTTAGGACCAAGCAGCCTGGCTGTAATCCCCCACCTGGTACACTTACCAGAAGGGGCACTGCCACTACCATGGGGTGCATCTGGATGAATGGTTGAAGGTTCTCCGCTTGAAGTTTCTTTTAGCCTGTCCGTTTGTGAGAGGATCTCTACTGCTCTCCCTGTTGCACAGAAAATAAAATTACAAGTGGCCTTTAGGGGAAAAAAATTATACATATTTTAATAATATCAAGAATTACCTTCAGGCTCAATTTGTATCTGGTCGAGGCTCTTTCCTTTGAATTCCGTCACTCCTCCCTGCTCCATGGCCATCAACACTTTGCTGATTTTGGCCAGCTCCAGTGTCCCCTCTGGTAGTCTGTAATATTGCCTGTGGATGCAAATGTCATGGCCGAGGAAGTTGGCAAGTATGTCCATCTCATTCTCTTTCATATTGAGAACTGTAGACATAGTAGCTATGTGCTTTCTAAGTTTGGTTGAGGATAGCATCTCTGGATGCACCCCACCACATTCTTTGGCTACCTGCCGTAGGGAGTCTGATCCCCTGATGTGGGTGTCTGCGCCCGGGCGGGAGAAGAAGTATGGGTTATGGTCAGAGATGGAACAGGCCCTTCTGTTCTCCACCAGCACCTCCATCGAAGCAATCATTTCAGGAGTCAAAAGAACCGGCACTTTCCGACTTCTTTTCCCTTTAATTTCAATGCGTTGAAAATGCTGACACAGCTTTTTCTCAAGTTCGGACAGTCCCAGAGCAATGTCAGAATGGATCCCAGTCTTACTTCTTAAGGTAAACGCTGTCAGAGGCATCTTTGAAACCTCACCTTCCCTTCTTCGATTGAAAATAATGACCTCACAAAGAGTCAAAACTGCCAGTTTAGACCAATGCTTAGACGTTGGCTCACTTATTAGGGTTTGCACATATTCAGGTCGACATACCTCAATATGTGCATGCATGGCAATAACGTCCTCAGTCAGAGGGAGCAGGTCCGGAGTGTTCCACTTGGCTTGCCGGAGGGTCTGTAGGGCAGCAGAAGAAACACAGACGTCTCACCTCTTCTTAAAAAGCAGCCGGCTTCGTTGGAGGTTTTCAATAAATAGTTCATCAACACAATGCTCCATTTTTGAGTCACATTCAAGAATATCTGCTAGCTTTCTGAGGCTATGGCCGAGTTTGAGGGCCAAGAATGGAGTCTTGTATTGATTTGTTTCCTCATCATATCCAGCCACAGACCTGACTGCATCAATCACATGGTTAAAGTTGGAAGGAATAAAGAAATCCTTAATTGTTTTCAGTTTCCCTGCGGTTTTTGCTTCGTTAATTAACCTACCGACTTCTCTCATTTTCTGCCTAATGTAATCATGCTTAGTCTTATCATGCCCGTGTTTTAAGTACAGGTGCTCTCCGAGTCTCAGAATCCCCTTTTCTGCTTTGACAACACCCGTGACTTCATCCTGATGCATTGCCGAAATTAAAGACCACAGCTTTTTGCTGATGCCCTCCAGTACAGGCTGGGCTAGGGAGCAGAGGGACTGGACCCTACTTCTACCTGGTTTAGCCTGGGAATCTTTCTGTGAAAGCCGGCACCTGGCCACATGCCTCCACAGCGACTTTCGCTTAAGCAATGCCCCACAGTCTACACAGTGCAAAAACTCACTGGATTTAACTGGGGAATTTGGCTGTTTAGCTGGGACTATAGTTCCAATGCCGGCCTTTAAAACCTCAAAATTGTGCTCACGGTTTCCACTATTCCTGATCAAATCAAACTGAAGTTTACATGCTTTAGATTTCACAGGTAGAGCCAATGCTCTGGCTACGTCACTTTCATTTCCATGTTTTCTAGTCAAATGACGGGACATTTTGTGGCAGGACATTGAACAGTAGAGGCAGAAGTGTCTCTTGCTGTATACTCGCCCCCCATTTTTTCTTCTTTTGCAGCTGCATGATAACAATCTTATTTGCCTTTGGTTCGTCACTTTCCGAGTCTTGAAGAAAAGTGTTTTTGATTTTTCTTTTTCCATACTTTTTTACAGGTTTCTTCTTGACAGTTAAATCGTCAGAATCTGAGTCGACTTCATCAATTAGGGACTCTTGACTAAGCTGCACAAACAACAAATAATTTGTAATCATTCTATATAACAATTTGAAGTCATGACTTGTAGTCAGCACTTACCAGTGGTTTGTAAGCGTGCGCTTCAGTGTGCTCCTCCATGATTTCTTGCAGCCTAATGAACCACACACTTGCACCTTTTTCTAGCCTGACACCTGATTTCCTCTGTTGTGCTGCTCCATGATTGGCTCCAGCCTGCTGGACTGAAATTGCCCCAGTGTGCCCCTCCTTGATATCCCGCAACCCACCACCAGGGTTCCGACACATAACACACTTTTTTCAGGAAAGTAAACCTCCAGGGGTCCTTTCCATATTTTTACAGAGACTGCATAAGGACCGTTAGAAAAGCATTACCCATTGATTATTAAGCTTGGACCAGTGGGGTCCGGTGTTCGGGCCCCACCACGTAAAACCAGTCCCCATGACGTGAGTGGAATCTCAGGTTATGGAACCCACCAGGAGTTGAAAACAAGTGCACACACACACACACACACACACTGCCTCTCTCTCTCCTCTCACACACACACACACTCACACACACACACACACACACACACACACACACACACACACACGAGAGAGAGCCATTACTACTGATGAGGAGAGAGACCAGAGAGAGACCAGAGAGAGAGCCATTACTACTGATGAGGAGAGAGACCAGAGAGAGACCAGAGAGAGAGCCATTACTACTGATGAGGAGAGAGACCAGAGAGAGACCAGAGAGAGAGCCATTACTACTGATGAGGAGAGAGACCAGAGAGAGACCAGAGAGAGAGCCATTACTACTGATGAGGAGAGAGACCAGAGAGGAAGCCATTGCTACTGATGAGGAGAGAGACCAGAGAGAGATAGACCAGATGTCTTGTCCCTGGTCTCTCTCTGGTCTCCGTTGATCTAAAGATGTAACAGACCTGATTAGTCCAAAAACAAATGAAACTATTGATAGAAGCAACAGTTTTAGAGCCAGGACCAGAGACGTAGATTTTATCACATAATTCTGTTTTATTACTTGATATTTACAAACCCGAGCTTTAAGGAACTGGGATGGGGCACTCAGTGGGGGCGCGGCGAGGTCGGGCCCGGGGGGGGGCGCGGGGGGTCGGCCGGCGCGCAAGAGGCGAGGCCACGCGGGGGTGGCGGGGGGAGGACGCCACCTCGGGGCGGGGGGCGGGCGGCGCGGCGGGTGCGGGGTTGAAACGGGAACGCGGCGTCGAGGGCCATGCACCGGGAGCGGCGCCGGCCGCTGCCCGCCCCGGGGGTGGGCCGGCTGGGGCCGACGGCGGGCATCCGGGTAGCGGCGGGGTCGGGGTGCCACGGCCCGCGGGTGTGACAACCCCCCCCCCCCCCCCCCCCCAGGCTAGCCCAGTGGCCTAGCCGGGGGGGGGGGCAAGCCACCACGGCGGCGGGACCACCCGGGGAGTGCACGGGCAGGGAGCGCCCGGACGATAGGGGGGGCGGAGGGGAGAGCGGGACAGGTGGCGACAGGGGGAACGGGGGGAAGGGCGGGTGGGGTGGCCACGGGACCGCCGGAACGGGGGGAACGGGCGCAGGGGGGGGCGGAGCCCAGGCCCGGCGTGGGGCGGCGCGGCCCGTCGGGACGGCGGGGGATGCATGCGAGGAGCAGCCGCCTGCCACCCCCCCTTGGGGGCCCCGGTGCGACCTTGGGTTGTGCGTCCCGCCGCGGGGGGGTGGTGGGTTCACGGTGGGCCATGCGCCCGGGCCGCGTGGGTGGGGTCGGTGCCGGGGGCCCCGGAGACGGGGCGCGGGGATACGCTCTTGTTGTCCCCGCGTGGGCGACCGGGCGGCCGTCGGGGCCCCCTCCACCCCCCGGAGGGCGGAGAGGCGTTCAGGCCGGGGGGGAGGGGGCCGGAAAGGGGGGGCCCCGGGACGCCGGGGCCCCGCGCACCCTTGTTGGGCCCGTCCCGTGACGCCGGAGGGGGTGGACAGAGCCCCCAACCACACACCCCCGGGGGCGGGCTGTGAGGGGGGGGCGCGGGGGCGCTGGGCGCGGACGGGGGGCGCGGCCGGCTTCGCGGGGGGGTGGGACAAGTGGTGGCGCCCTGCGCGGGAGGGTCGGGTGTGACTGGGGCGCCAGTTTTGTGCAGGCGCCTGTGGGTGGGTGACTCCCACCCCCACCCCCGGTGGGGCGACGGGGCGCGTCGTCCCCCCGCGTGTTCTGTGCGTTGGACTGACCGGGGCTGGCCGGCGCTGGTTGAGTGCTTGGTGGGGGTCGGGAGTCGAGCGCCCGGCGCGGCCGGGGTAGGTGTGGCGGGGGCGATGGCGCGAGCGGCGGCACCCCCCAAGCGTAGCGGAGGGGGCCCGGGGGTGGGAGGCACCCTGCATGCTTGACAGCGCGGAGGGGACGAGGGGGTAGCGCGATCGGGCGCCCCGGTGTGGACCAGGGGGCCGACGGGGCCGGGGGGACGGGGGGGCCGGGGGTCGCTCAAGCACGGGGGGTGGGGACGCGCGCGGCAGGCGGGCCCGTGGCGGTTGGGGCCGGGGGCGTGGGGGCGACCCCGGGCGGGGGGGGCCGGGGGGAGCTCCGTCAGACGAGGGGGGGCCAGTCGGCTGCGCGGGCTGTCGCTGCCGGCGGCCGGTGGTCGCCGGGGCTGGGGGCCGCCCCGGAGGTGCTCGGGGATGGGCCGGGCGCTGGGACGGCGGGGCCGGGGCACCACGCTGTGCGGGGCGGCTGCCCCCGGGGGGGGCGGGTGGGACCCTGTCCCCCGGCAACTAGCCTCGCGCGGCGGCACGTGTGTCCTCTCCGCGGGGCGCGGCCGGTCGGCCCGTGGCACCTCGGCGGGCCCAGACGGGCCCGACGCCACCACCAGCGGGGGGGCCCCACCAGAACAGGCGGGGACGAGAGCCTCCGGGCCGGGCCCCTGCCGAGCGCAGGGGGTGGTCGGAAGGCGCAGCGGTGGCAGGGAGGGCGAGCGGGGGGGGTCGGGTGGGGAGGGGCGTACCGCCCGCCGCACGAGGGGGGGCGGTGCTTACGTGTGCGGGGTCACGTTTCGGCGAGCCGGGGCGCTCGGCACACCTGGGTGCGGTGACCATGGGTCGCCCGCGGGGGCGGGCCGAGGGGCAGGGCGTGGCGCGGTCGGGCCCTGGGGGGAGTGGGGGCGGGGCCGGCCCGGGCGCATACCATGGGGGCGCCGGGGGCCGGCCGCGGCAGCGCGGTGGGAACCCGGTAGTGGGGGGGGGGGAGCGGCGTTTTTTCACGTGCCGCGGTAGCGGTGGCGGTAGGGGCTCGCGTGTCGTGGTCCGGATGGGGGCCAGACGTGGGGTTTCCGTGAGAGTCTTACGGGAGCCCCTCCCCCGCGGCGAGGCGGAGCGGGGGGGGGGGAGGGGTCCCGGACTCACGGGCTTCAGCGGACGGGGCAGGCGCGCGCGGTGGGGGGGCCACGCGGGGCACCAGCGGGGGACCGGGCTAGGCGGGGCGGGCGGAGGCGCCGAGGGAGGGGGGATTGCGGACGGAGTGACACGCGCTCCGGGGCGACGGGGCATCGGGGCGCGCCCCCCCCACCCACACCGAAGGGGAGGGCATCGGGGAAGCGCCGCGGATGGGCGGCAGTGGCGGCCCACGGGGGAGGCGGATGCGGGGCGCGATCGCGCGGGGGGCGTGAACCTCCGCGGGGTCGGCCTGTCGCGCCCCCCCCGGGGAGGAGGGAGCCGGCTCGGGGTGCGGCAGGGGATCGCTCCCTGCTCCGGTGGGGGGCGGTACCGGTACCGCAGTACAGGAGGACCGGGTAGCTGGGCGGGCGTTCCGGGGCGAGGGGGGCTGTGTTGGGCAGTCAGTCGCGGGGGGGCCTTCGTTTTTCTGTGGTGGGGGGGTGTATTTGTGGTGCGCCCCGAGCGTGCACTCTGGAAGAGAGCCTCTTACGGGGCGGGCAATCGACCAGGGCCGCGGGCCGTCTTGGCGCAGTTGGGCCAGCGGGGGCGGGCAGCGGGGGGGGTTCTAGGTGCGACGCGCCGCGGGGGCACGGGGGGGGGGACGTCGCGGCTGCATGGCCGGGGGGGCCACACGCCAGTCTGGGGGGCGTGACCTGGGGGCGAAGGGGGCGACGGGTGACGGCCACACGGTGGGTGGTGGCGAGAGGGCACCGGGGGGGCTCGCCCCCCGGCCGGGGGTTCTCACTGCAGTCGAGGGCGGCGGGGCGAGGGTGAGGGGGGGAGGGTGGGGGGCCGAGCGCAAGGGCTGGTAGGCGGATTGCGGGTAACCCGGCGCTTGGAAGGGGCAGGGGGGGCGCGCGGGCATGCTGGGGGGGGGGGAGCGGTTCCCGTGGGCCAGGGGGGGGGTTACCTCCTACGGGCGGGATTGCGGTGGGGGGCGGCGGGGGGGGGACAGGTCGGCGTGGGCAGCGTGAGGGACGGGAGATCCACGCGGGGGGGGGTTGGAGGCGCCGGTGCGTGGCGGGTGGGCGTGCGCCGGCCAACAGGCGGGGGGGTGGCAGCCGGGGCTCCAGGGGGGGAATGGTGTGGTACGACGGGCGATCCAGGGGGGCGACCGCAGTGGCCCGGTGGGGTGCGTGTCTAGCGCTGTCGCCACCTGCCCGCATCCGAGGGGAGGGGGGTGAGACATGTACACACACACAGAGACAGACACACATGTACACACACACACAGAGACAGACACACATGTACACACACACAGAGACAGACACACATGTACACACACAGAGACAGACACACATGTACACACACAGAGACAGACACACATGTACACACAGACAGACACACATGTACACAGAGACAGACACACATGTACACACACACAGAGACAGACACACATGTACACACACTCAGAGACAGACACACATGTACACACACAGAGACAGACACACATGTACACAGAGACAGACACACATGTACACAGAGACAGACACACATGTACACACACACAGAGACAGACACACATGTACACACACAGAGACAGACACACATGTACACACACAGAGACAGACACACATGTACACAGAGACAGACACACATGTACACAGAGACAGACACACATGTACACACACACAGAGACAGACACACATGTACACACACAGAGACAGACACACATGTACACACACTCAGACACACATGTACACACACAGAGACAGACACACATGTACACACACACAGAGACAGACACACATGTACACACACAGAGACAGACACACATGTACACACACAGAGACAGACACACATGTACACACACACAGAGACAGACACACATGTACACACACACAGAGACAGACACACATGTACACACACACAGAGACAGACACACATGTACACACACTCAGAGACAGACACACATGTACACACACTCAGAGACAGACACACATGTACACACACTCAGAGACAGACACACATGTACACACACAGAGACAGACACACATGTACACACACACAGAGACAGACACACATGTACACACACTCAGAGACAGACACACATGTACACACACAGAGACAGACACACATGTACACACACACAGAGACAGACACACATGTACACACACTCAGAGACACACACACACACATACACGTTTGTGTTACCTGGTGGGTCCCTTTGACAGGGCCGTTCAGAATGGGACCCATAGACATAATCTTTTTTTACTGGGAAGACTTTAAGTAATACAAAACAGTCAATAGAAACCAAACAACTATTTTAAAGGAATTTTATTTTAGATTTTGTTTTCGAATTGCAGTGATTCTATTTTTGACATAGAATTTAATGCCACTCCATGTCCGATGTCTAAGGTCATCTGGTGAGGCATTAATGCAGGCCAGGCAGTGAGACTTCCCAGGGACCTTTCCAGTCTGTATGAAAGGTGTCATGGTCTTCTCCACAGCCTTCACCTCAGATGCAGACCATGGCTTTCTCTAACGTTCTAGGGAGAGAAATAAAAATATATTAGCAATATACACTCCCAGGGTTAGGACCAAGCAGCCTGGCTGTAATCCCCCACCTGGTACACTTACCAGAAGGGGCACTGCCACTACCATGGGGTGCATCTGGATGAATGGTTGAAGGTTCTCCGCTTGAAGTTTCTTTTAGCCCGTCCGTTTGTGAGAGGATCTCTACTGCTCTCCCTGTCGCACAGAAAATAAAAATACAAGTGGCCTTTAGGGGAAAAAAATCATACATATTTTAATAATATCAAGAATTACCTTCAGGCTCAATTTGTATCTGGTCGAGGCTCTTTCCTTCGAATTCCGTCACTCTTCCCTGCTCCATGGCCATCAACACTTTGCTGATTTTGGCCAGCTCCAGTGTCCCCTCTGGTAGTCTGTAATATTGTCTGTGGATGCGAATGTCATGGCCGAGGAAGTTGGCTAGTATGTCCATTTCATTCTCTTTCATATTGAGAACTGTAGACATAGTAGCTATGTGCTTTCTAAGTTTGGTTGAGGATAGCATCTCTGGATGCACCGCACCACATTCTTTGGCTACCTGCCGTAGGGAGTCTGATCCCCTGATGTGGGTGTCTGCGCCCGGGCGGGAGAAGAAGTATGGGTTATGGTCAGAGATGGAACAGGCCCTTCTGTTCTCCACCAGCACCTCCATCGAAGCAATCATTTCAGGAGTCAAAAGAACCGGCACTTTCCGACTTCTTTTCCCTTTAATTTCAATGCGTTGAAAATGCTGACACAGCTTTTTCTCAAGTTCGGACAGTCCCAGAGCAATGTCAGAATGGATCCCAGTCTTACTTCTTAAGGTAAAGGCTGTCAGTGGCATCTTTGAAACCTCACCTTCCCTTCTTCGATTGAAAATGATGACCTCACAAAGAGTCAAAACTGCCAGTTTAGACCAATGCTTAGACGTTGGCTCACTTATTAGGGTTTGCACATATTCAGGTCGACATACCTCAATATGTGCATGCATGGCTCTAACGTCCTCAGTCAGAGGGAGCAGGTCCGGAGTGTTCCACTTGGCTTGCCGGAGGGTCTGTAGGGCAGCAGAAGAAACACAGACGTCCCACCTCTTCTCAAAAAGCAGCCGGCTTCGTTGGAGGTTTTTAATAAATAGTTCATCAACACAATGCTCCATTTTTGAGTCACATTCAAGAATATCTGCTAGCTTTCTGAGGCTATGGCCGAGTTTGAGGGCCAAGGATGGAGTCTTGTATTGATTTGTTTCCTCATCATATCCAGCCACAGACCTGACTGCATCAATCACATGGTTAAAGTTGGAAGGAATAAAGAAATCCTTAATTGTTTTCAGTTTCCCTGCGGTTTTTGCTTCGTTAATTAACCTACCGACTTCTCTCATTTTCTGCCTAATGTAATCATGCTTAGTCTTATCATGCCCGTGTTTTAAGTACAGGTGCTCTCCGAGTCTCAGAATCCCCTTTTCTGCTTTGACAACACCCGTGACCTCATCCTGATGCATTGCCGAAATTAAAGACCACAGCTTTTTGCTGATGCCCTCCGGTACAGGCTGGGCTAGGGAGCAGAGGGACTGGACCCTACTTCTACCTGGTTTAGCCTGGGAATCTTTCTGTGAAAGCCGGCACCTGGCCACATGCCTCCACAGCGACTTTCGCTTAAGCAATGCCCCACAGTCTACACAGTGCAAAAACTCACTGGATTTAACTGGGGAATTTGGCTGTTTAGCTGGGACTAAAGTTCCAATGCCGGCCTTTAAAACCTCAAAATTGTGCTCACGGTTTCCACTATTCCTGATCAAATCAAACTGAAGTTTACGTGCTTTAGATTTCACAGGTAGAGCCAATGCTCTGGCTACGTCACTTTCATTTCCATGTTTTCTAGTCAAATGACGGGACATTTTGTGGCAAGACATTGAACAGTAGAGGCAGAAGTGTCTCTTGCTGTAAACTCTCCCCCCATTTTTCTTCTTTTGCAGCTGCATGATAACAATCTTATTTGCCTTTGGTTCGTCACTTTCCGAGTCTTGAAGAAAAGCGTATTTGATTTTTCTTTTTCCATACTTTTTTACAGGTTTCTTCTTGACAGTTAAATCGTCAGAATCTGAGTCGACTTCATCAATTAGGGACTCTTGACTAAGCTGCACAAACAACAAATAATTTGTAATAATTCTATATAACAATTTTAAGTCATAACTTGTAGTCAGCACTTACCAGTGGTTTGTAAGCGTGCGCTTCAGTGTGCTCCTCCATGATTTCTTGCAGCCTAATGAACCACACACTTGCACCTTTTCTAGCCTGACACCTGACTTCCTCTGTTGTGCTGCTCCATGATTGGCTCCAGCCTGCTGGACTGAAATTGCCCCAGTGTGCCCCTCCTTGATATCCCGCAACCCACCACCAGGGTTCCGACACATAACACACTTTTTTCAGGAAAGTAAACCTCCAGGGGTCCTTTCCATATTTTTACAGAGACTGCATAAGGACCGTTAGAAAAGCGTTACCCATTGATTATTAAGCTTGGACCAGTGGGGTCCGGTGTTCGGGCCCCACCACGTAAAACCAGTCCCCATGACGTGAGTGGAATCTCAGGTTATGGAACCCACCAGGAGTTGAAAACAAGTGCTAAAACAACAATAGAATCTTTCGGTTTTTTCTTTGCCAAAACACAAAATAAGTGTCGCAGTCATTAAACATTTGTCTATAGTACGTAAGATTGGCAAATCGAATCAAAGTACCGTTTTTTATGGCAGTTATATAAAAACTGTATATATATAAAGATATATATAGATATATATAGATATATCTATATATATGTATCTATATATATGTATAAAGAAATAACCGTCATAAAAAAGTTTTTGATCTTGGCTGGATTTGAATCTGCAAACTCTTGCATGATTGGCAGACACACACCAGCTATACCACTCACCAGGTGGTTTTAAGTAAAATTGTGTCTTGAGTGTTTTACACATAATTTAGTTTTACCCTAACGATGATGCAATATTAATCCTAATGCAAGATTACTATTGCAACAACACATAGCCATATTTATGAAATATATATTCATACATATTCAATTTGTATTTAATCTGACAACAAAAAAATAAAGACCAGACCTGGACTTGAACCAGGAACCTTCCGCATGAGAGACAGTTATAAACCAAGTGCGAAATATACACTTCTTCAAAATCTAAATCACATATAATACATGAAATTAAGTCTTTCAACAAATTTTTAATTTAATTTATTATAACTCAAGCTACATTTTTCAAACAACTTATGGCACTTCTGACATTCTCCTTGAAGTGTTATGCCCAAGGACCCAACATCAGCAAATGTCATTGGTGGTCACTGGGGATTTGAACTACCAACCATCAACACTGTAGACCTATGCTTTTCCATCTGAGCCACTGGACCACTATCTCTAATACTGCTGCTTGTTGTCTTTTGTACAGGCTACTTTCTGCATTTGTTTTACACGCCATTTATTCCCCACATGCCGTTTTAAACGCCATTTATTGCCCACATGCCGTATTAAACGCCATTTATTGTCCACATTCCATTTTAAACGCCATTTATTGTCCACATGCTGTTTTAAACGCCATTTATTGCCCACATGCCGTTTTAAACGGCATTTGTTCCCCATGCCGTTTTAAACGTCACTTGTTGTCCACATG